TCTATTTGCTTTTCTACTCTGCACTGCATTGTTCTTGCACTACGTAATTTAGTTTTATTAGTTTATTTCCCATAATATTCCAAACTATTCCTCTAAAGGGTCAATTCAGACTGGATTCCTGTGTGTGGAGGCGGTAACAACAACACTATTGTGTAACAGGTACAAACACATGCGAGTAGTTAGGCGGGGCCGGTGCACGAGGATTTGATGGTGTAACATTACAAACACTAAACACAGTTTTCTGGGTGGCACTGATGTTGGGTTCCTCCGCTTTAACCCACACCGAAGCGCCTCTGAGCTCTGGGATTACGTTGCGTGTTTTCAGTGAAACAAGCTCATTAGACGGTTTCAGACAAATCGCTGTCGGCTTCTACCTTAAACTGTCGCAGGTCCCACACTTTGAGGATCCCGTCGTCCCCCCCCGACAGCAGGAATGGTTCGGTCCGGTTCCAGCTGATCACGTTGATGTCGGACGAGTGGGCTTCGTCGGCGGAGAGCATGGAGTTCGGCGGGGCGCGGATGTCCCAGATACGGATCGACTGGTCCACCGAACACGATGCAAAAACCTGCAGCGAGAAGAACAAAGTCCAGAGATCTGAGTTGAAACATCTGGGTCGTTCCAACTCCAACGCTTTCTGATTTGAATTAAGATGTACGGCATAAAATATGGATGTTTGAGAAATTTTATCAACTTTAACGGCCTTCTGGCCACTTTCAGCAGTTGTTTATTTATTTTTATTGTTTTTAAATCTGAGTCTGTTTGAACAACAACATCTGATTAAAGATAAAAACCTGAAATGTTCTCTGTTCGTTCTCATCATGTCACTGATTCAGAACCAGTCATATCGGACCGTACATCGAGAAGTTTATAATTACAGGTGGGTTAAAATATAAACATAAAGTTCCATCTCCATCAAACTGATGTTTCCTGAACCACATGTAGCTGAAGGTCACAACAATACAAAACTATATAAATGAGTTTTTATGGGAAATAGTGATGAAAATTAAAAGAAAGTTATTTTTGTTGAATCTTTACAACTAAAGATTAAAAAAAAATCTGTAGAGTTTATGATAAAAATAAAAGCTTCAAGCAAATCAGAGCTGCTTGGGCCGATTTACAAAACAAAAAAAGCCTGTTCTGTTATCAGCTCCATAACGGTGGATTTCTTTGCCAACTCTTCGTTTCCTCGTTGCAAAGAGAAATTTAATTAAGCCCGAGGAGGTTGACGAGTTCCAGGAGTCTGACGTGAAGAAAACAGGACATTCTTGGACGAGCAGCTTCAGTCTGCAGCGTTTACATTCCACAAACTAGTTCGGCTTTAACACATACCTCAGTTTGGAACTGTGTCACCTGGTGTTTCTAACGTGAACTAGTCTCGTCCATCATCACACCCTGGTTATGTAACTACTACCTGGTGAGTCCTTCATCATCCATCAGTGGAGAAACTCATCCGGTTGATCTGACTCACCAAGTCCTCTTATTCACAGAATACGATGTTTACAGTCGTCAAAATTGGGATTGAAATTAAAATTAATATTTCACACTTGTGAAGCGCTACGACATCCGCTCACCACCACGTCTGGTGTGGACGTTTAAGGCGTGTTGGTGATTCGTGACGTCGCACGAAAGCAG